TGATATGACGAATGTGATTCCGCCCGGAGAGTTTGCAATATGCAAATGGCTTATATTGTGCGCATTTAGGCCAATGATAATGAACGTAAGTTATCACTACACGGTAATTCAATTCTCTCCTCTCCAGGAACAAAAGGACATTTGCATGTACTTCGAGGATATATCAAGTTACATGTTAAGAAGTTAACGAGGTGCTACATGTCTCTTGCTTTCAGCGATGAAACTTGACTAAATTGTAAATGCGTTGTATCGTTATCATTACATCAAATGTACCGATAATAATCCTTAATTTATGTATCCATACGCGGGTGGATATTGCGGTTTTGTCTCATGCAACTGCATTTATAGAAATACTACTACATTTTCTCGCAATTACATTTATAGATCTAAAGAGAAAAATATTACAAATATAAAATGATATAATAATATAATAATTATCAGCACAATTATTATCAAAAGTGTAAAATGTCATGCAATATTATATATATTCAAATACATGAATAGAATATTAAATATATTTACAAAGGAAACATAATCTCATTTTATCTCCATTTAATACAGGATTTCTATCTGTATAAATCCTATAATATCAAATCCTATCATATTTTCACGATGTTAAATACTTGCAGAATATTTTCCATTGAAAATCACATATTAAGATATTTAATAAATTACAATTAACAATTGCATTAGCAATTACGTTAAATACAATCTCATTCATCTATTCGTTCTCTGATATATTCCAATAATCGATTGAAAAGTCCACTTTCCTTTTTCACTGTATACATAAAAATGATATAGACAAAAAATACATATGAACGAATCTTTCAAATAATCTAATATTTCCTAAGGAGCTATCTTTTTTCCATGGATCAAAGTGAAATAAGGACTATGTACTTATAGATCCTTAAGAAGCACCTCTTGAAGGAGAAAGAAGCCAGTTCGTACGCATTTGGCCGCCTGTGGCATCTTCCCTGAAAGAAAAAACATCGAGCCAGGTGCGTGTCGAGGCACCATCGGCACGGCAGGCAGGCGGCATGGCAGAGTCCCGTGCCGCTTCTGCGAAGCCGTGTCGGGGAGGCTCTGGATAGCACGCGCTCGTGTGGCACGCGAGTCGCAGGCACGATGGAGCAGATGTTCCTCCTCCTCTTCCTCCTCTGGGGAAGCTTTAATGCCATACCGTCCCTCGCGTTGATATCCGTACGCAGGATCTCTGGCAACGTATCCGCTCCTATGGATCCGCTGATGTTCTCCCCGAAGAATTCGAAATGTTTCGTAAAAGTACGATTGATAAAAAAAATATCGATTTACTTTGCTCGCAATTACGATGTAAGGCAGGTTTCTTTTTCTGAAAGGTTTTAATAGGTTTGGTTATATTACGAATTATATACGCGCTTTCTCTTCTCCAGACGCAGATGTTTCCGAAGAGCTTTCCAATGTTTGCATTTATAAGTTTCACAATTGATTTTGTAAAAGTCCGATATGTAGTAAAATTCATTCTACTATAACGGTAATGATGTTTAATATATTCTTCCTCTGAAAAGTTATGATGATACGCTTTCTGAATTCATCTTCTTTTGTGCCCAAATTAAAGACACAACTTCTATTCTCACACGTTTTCATTAAAGTTTCTGAACTTTATACTGATTTAGAAGGATCTATTATGTAAATATGATTCTTTATTAAAAGAAAGTAATTTAATTCTCAATTGTGCTCGATATCCTGTTTCAATTCTAAGTTAAGATTTATATACTTAGATTTTTCTAATTGAAGTTTAAAACTCATTGAAATCTTATATACGATTACGTGTTGCTTCTGCATTACCCACCGCATTTATATTGTTCAACTACATTATCGTATAACATTTAATGATACACGCACTGATTACGGCAGGGAAACATACGACTTAGTTTACGAGAACGCGAGATGCACATTTTATGACGAAGCGGTACCATCGATTTCTCGACCACGCTCCAATTTTTAATTCTCTGGTAATACAATTCTAGTCTACGTTACATTTCATCATTATTTCTTCATGTATTACAGCAACATTGTCTTACTAAGCATTCATTGATTTAATGGAAGAAGCCTTCGCTCTCGCAAAGTTCGAGAGTCGGACGAATCATGAATCATTCCTTGCAACTCTTCCCAGTCGTCTCGCGTTTCATCTCTTCGGCCGGCATATGCATTTATCATATGTTGCGCATTCATTTGCTTAAGTCGAATTCTTACGTAAGTCATTTAATTGACGTGCATTACGTAAGAAGTAGTCTCCGCCGCGGAAGGTTGAGTGTCACGGTCAAATACACTGTCGACGCTGCTATCGTCGCGTACACCTGCCAGATACACACCGGCGAGGATACGTTGGAGATACGGGCATATAATACGCACCTTTATGGTATCTTGGAGGGGCGAGAAGAAGACTTGTACCCCTCATCCTCGATCCACGATTCTTTCAGGGATTTCTTGTCCCAATGATCCGAAAAGCAGACCTCGAGAGCCAGCTGCTCTTCTTCCATCGTCAGTTCGTCTTCGGTGTTCGAGGTGGTCGACACGCGAGATCGTTCGAGACACACGTGCATCGTTCTTCGCGAAAGAAGAAACGGCTCGGTGACGTAATCATGGTATAATAATTACGCGCAAGAACTAGCTGTGCATCGAGAACGTCCGTGGCATCACACCGCATCATAGACAAAGATAGATCGCGCAATTCGATACACGTGGAAAATTGTCCGAGTCCTCAAGTCCGAGAGAGCAATATGATCATTTGCATTTACCATTTCAGAGGGTACGTCCTCTGTTTTTACGATCCGCATATTATATGCGTCGCACACACATACACACACACACACACACACACACACACACACACACACACACACACATATATGTGTGTGCTTGTGTTCTAATAATTAAAAACACCTGGCGTTTGCAGTCCCGTGACTAGGGTGTCGTTTATCTGATTTCAATTATTTCTGTACGGACTTGCCGTATGTTTCTTTGTACAGGTTCTTATAAGCTAGTTTTTCTTCGAATAAAAGATAGAACAAAAAACTAAATTGTGAAAATCTAGAAATAAAAATCTCTTCGTTTGAGACGCCGTCTTCAAGAGAAAAACGAAAATTTAAAAATTTATTTGAATATTTCTTCCATTTTTTAATTTGTGGTCTACGATAATTCATTCAACTCTCGAACTTTGCGATGAGTTCCTCTCTGTAAATCAATACTGCACTGAAAAAAAAATTTCTAGTTGAAAATGGACGAATCAGAATTTTTTCTGGTTAAGTCTACTAGAATTCTAGTTGAGATAATCAGAATTCTGATATAATATTTCTGGTAAAATCTATTAGAATTAGTTATTTTTATCAGAATAATTATATCAATCAGAATTCTAATTATCTCAACTAGAATTCTAGTAAACTTAACTAGAAAATTCTGATTCCATTTTCTACCAGAATTGCTGTTTAATCCAATCAGACCATTTTTCTCAGTGTGATGTCCACTTTTATCAATATAGATTAATTTTAATCTCAATTTAATTTACTCTTTCTTCTTTTCTAATAGAACTAGAAAAAGATAAAAGTAAATTAAATCAAGATTAAAGTTAATAATCTATATTGATAGAAACGACTTTGAAGAAACTGCTGTTCAATAATATATGGAAAAATAATGATGAAACATTTATATATGTCTGGTAAGAAGTTATTATAAGTATAGATTAAAATCGGAACGTGATGGAGAAATTAATAATTCTCTGCGATTTTCGTCATGTCCGTTTCGTCAAATTCTTAGAGATGATTTATCAGAAAAATACTTTACAATTGAAGGATACAGAAGTCATTAATAACTTGAGAAAATAAAGTCTCGCGGACGTGATGTCTCGAACAAAAATTAATTAACATTTATCTCTTGCGCAGCTTCCCGACGAAGGTGGAGAGACCGTCGCACAGCAGTACGGCCGCTAGCCAGATCCACGGCAACAGCATGCACGGCGCGTACTCGTCTGGTAGCCAGACGTCCCTGTCGACGACATCGTACATCACGGGCCAGTCCTACATGCAGAATCAAAATTACGCGCACGGGCCTCCGTATCCTGCCGCGAGCGTGCAGGTCTATTCGCACAACGCAACAGGCTATTCGCAGCCGCAGAGCTACGGCACCATGGTGCAGGGCTTTGGTGGGCAACCACAGTCCGCTGGGTATCAGCAGAATCATCTTAAGAAGGGCTCGGTCCGTAACGGCGATGTGCTCAAGCGATGTCGGCTGCAGACCGCGTAAGTCATAATCTTATATCCTTTTTCGCGACCGCGAACAAACAACACATACGCAGAGAACCGTAACAGTCCGCCTGCGGATGAAAAATTGTATCGAGGAGTGCAGCCAAGAGAATGGATCGGAAGTTAAAAATTGCGTGGTTTCGTTTTCTATAGATACGAGTTGTCGCAGGATCTACTTGACAAGCAGATCGAGATGCTAGAGCGGAAATACGGTGGCGTGAAGGCGCGGAACGCGGCACTGACAATTCAACGTGCCTTTCGGAGGTACACATTGCTGAAGAAATTCGCGGCGATCACGGCGATGGCCAAGGCAGAAAAGAGATTGAGTAGGAAGCTTCAAGAATTGGCGATCGACCGCTCGGGTAATCTCAACGATCACGAGAGAATGGTTTATCATAGTCAAATATACATTCAGCAGGCACAGTCCGCCAACAGGTAATTAAAAACGTTTCTCCGTGGAAGTTACTGTCGTTACGTTAAAAAAAAAATTCATCGCGCTAAATTAACTGCGAATCTAGCAGACCAATGCCGATTCGAAGCATGTCTCTCAGGGAGAGGCGGCACGTGGACAATTCGCAATCGCCTATACCGAGAAGTCAGAGTGGTAGATGCGAGGTCCAGGTCAGCCATCAACACACAAATCATAATTTGCACCAGAGCGGTAGACATACGCCCTCATTGGCGCCCAGCCCATGCAATCGACATCAGCAGTTACCACCGAGTCCCTGCTGGGAATCGAGCTCCCAGGAGAGCGGCTCCAGTATCCATTATTACAATCCACAGGTGAGTGTCGATAAACGTAATGACAAAGAAAACGATCGTATTGTAAAATGAACAGACTAATAATTTGTTACAAAATATATCTTGTTTTGTCGCTTTAATTTGATAGAAAAATGCAATTTCTATTTAATTCAGGAAGCCTTGTGCGGCCTGAGACAAGAAACGCCACCAAGAGACTTGCTGCGAACACCATGCACATCGCCGTCGACGCCGCACAATCTACAGACGACTATATCGCAAAATTGGAACAACGCCAACCAGCTTGGTCCTGGCAGAACGAGGTGTTCCGGTAAAAAAGTCCCTCCGGAGGTACCGAAGAGAACGTCTTCTATCACCTCGAGATCCATGGAACCACGACATAATGGTCTTAGTAAAAGTGTGGAGAATGGAAGTCTAAGTTCGGTGCAGAGCTCCGGTAGTGATTCCACCAATTGCGAAAGCTCCGAGGGCGATGCTCAGAGAGGATCTCCTGTCTGGAAGCACAAAGGAATTGTAAGTATAGTTGACTTTCTCTCATTATATTTACGCTTTACTTGCTCGTTTAGCGCAAGTAACGGCGATTTTCTGAGGACGTAAGCGAAAAGCATTAACGGAACTGTTGTGATTGTGAAATCAGTCGAGTTCGCCGGAACATCAGGAATGCGCGAGTCATACTGCTGACACGACGGCGATGACCGCTAACGTGAAGGAGCTTGGCCACTCACATGCTAGCTCCGGTTATCAGCTTCCCCTAATGGACCACACAGAAAGTCTGCCGCCTCAAACGAGTTACAAGGTGTCCGAAACAGTGAGAAAGCGACAATACAGAGTCGGCCTAAATCTTTTCAATAAGAAACCGGAAAGGGGAATCAGTTATCTTATCAGACGTGGATTTTTGGAGAACAGTCCGCAAGGAGTCGCTAGATTCTTGATCAGTCGAAAAGGATTATCCAAACAGATGATAGGAGAGTATCTTGGAAATTTGCAGAACACTTTTAATATGGCAGTACTTGAGTAAGTGGTTTAATATACTTAATATATTTGAATCAATGTTGAGAATAAAAGAATAAATTTTCGTTAATAAAGAATTGTTTCATTATAATTATACATTATTTAAAATACTTCTTTTAAAATAAAATATTGTCATAATGTTTAAAACATGTATAAAACATGTATTTTATTACTTATAATTCTATATCTATATCTCTTAGATATATCTATATTAATATTTAATACTTATAATTTACAGATGTTTCTCTCAGGAGTTAGATCTTTCTGGAATGCAAGTGGATGTCGCTTTACGAAAGTTTCAAGCCTACTTCAGAATGCCTGGCGAGGCGCAAAAGATCGAACGGTTAATGGAAGTCTTTAGTCAACGTTATTGCCAATGCAATCACGATGTAATATCGAGGCTGCGGTCGGCAGATACCGTTTTTGTCTTAGCCTTTGCTATTATCATGCTTAACACGGATTTGCATACACCTAACCTAAAACCTGAGCGCAGAATGAGACTCGAGGATTTTATAAAAAATCTTCGAGGAATCGATGATTGCGGCGATATAGATCGGGATATCCTAGTTGGCATTTACGAACGAGTGAAAGATAATGAATTCAAGCCAGGCTCAGACCATGTGTCGCAAGTAATGAAGGTCCAAGCGACTATTGTTGGAAAGAAGCCAAACATGGCGCTACCACATCGAAGATTGGTGTGTTACTGCAGGCTCTATGAGATACCGGATATTCATAAAAAAGAGAGACCTGGCGTTCATCAAAGAGAGGTTTTCCTCTTTAACGACCTGCTCGTTGTCACGAAGATATTGAGCAAGAAGAAGAATAGCGTAACTTATACTTTCAGGCAGAGCTTTACACTTTGTGGCATGGTGGTTACTTTATTTGAAGTTCCCCGTAAGTTTTTAATGAAATAAGTTTATGAAAATATTTAAATATTAGCGTAATCTTTACTTCTGATTGCTATCATTTGTCTTGCAGATTATCCATATGGCATAAGACTTTCTCAGCGTGTCGACGGAAAAGTTCTAGTCACATTTAATGCTCGAAACGAACATGACAGGTGTAAATTTGTGGAAGACCTTAGAGAATCTATCAGTGAAATGGATGAGATGGAAACTTTACGTATCGAAACTGAATTGGAGAGACAAAAGAGCAGTAGGGGTGCGCGAGGTGGTGCAGAAAACAGAGACTCTGGCGTCGCTGATGTAGAGATATGTCCTTGTCCCGGAACTTGTTCCGATAGAACAGAAACAGTCGATGTCGACACGCAATTGAAACGTTCTGCCCTTAGTAATTCTCTTCTTGATATACACGAGCAGTGTAAGTAGGGAAAAATATTTATATTTTCATATTTACATTTTAACAAATATATGAAATGTAACGTATCAATGTATGTATTTAGTTGCCGGTGAGAAGCCACAGCGTCGTGGAAGCGTGGGTTCTCTGGACAGCGGTATGTCTATTTCATTTCAATCTACTTCTGCCAGCTCGATGAGCCAAGGCATTAAACATCCTGGACAAGTTCATCCTATTCATCCAGGAGCTACAATTCCTGGAGCTGGTGGTAAGGGATTAGCTCAGCAGCCGTCTTTTTTAGGAGGTCTTTTCACCAAACGAGAGCGAAAACTGTCACAATCTGAAGAGTCCGGCCCTTACAGTCGTACCACGGAAGTATAATGTACTCTTCCAGTAATGTAAACGAGGTACACTTTTGTATATCTATTTTCTTCTAGTACGCTTCGTGTTTTTAATAAGATAAAGATATCTCGCGTTTATGTCGAGAATTTTAATAGCAATAATTACTCTCTAATTTATTCATATTAATAAAATTGCGATTTTTATTTCTTCTACTTGGATCTTCTCGTTGTGCAGTTTTTTTTTCTTAAAAAAAAAGGTGAATTAATACAAGCAGCAAGACTGCCGTGAACTGTTCTATTACCGTACTAATAGAGTAGTATCTTTTTATACGTATATCATGAAGCGTGCTAAAGGATTAAAGCGCTAATGATGACAGCTAAAGACGTAAATCTAAAGGATTGGGCAGGATCCAATCGAAATCACCAGGCGCATTTAAAAAGAAAAAGAAAATTTTAACCTATTCTCCTCTCCCAAGATTATGTATAGTATTTATTCATCTAAAACAACTAATGGACACATTTTTCACACTGTATTTATAATTTATGAAGACGCGATATTGAATGATAGAATTGTGTGTAGATAATATTACATTTTTGCTTAGTTTTACAGGCGGGCGTTAACGAGTAGAATTTAATGAAGAGAAAATTCTTAATTCACAAGAATTGTAAGAATGCGAGATACTGTCAAGAATTTCTAATAGTAATCGCTATCAACAAGTATTATCACCATCACCAATTCGAAAAATTGTAAATAATAGGTTTATAACGATGTTCGAAACGAATTGTCACGTGTAACAAAAAGAAATTAGTATAAGGGAAACGATAAGCAATCTCTATCGATGTTAGGTGCATGTTGATGTCTAACGATTTTTATTAACGGAAACGTGAAGTTTGAATGTAGCAATGAAATAAGACTTAACGTAAGACGTAAGACGTGTTTGTCATTATAGCAATCTATTGATAATCATTCACGAGAAGTAGTTTTTGCTTATGTATGTTGAAATTTTGACTCGAAGTTGTTCACATTTTCAAAAGAGGAAAAAAGGAGCGAAAAGAAAAAAAGCCATCATGTTAAATATATCCAGGATTAATTCGTTTCTCGTTTTTCGCGGCAAAAATAGACGCTAGATCTAAACGTCGATAATATCGTTGCGAGAGTATAATCACGTAAGCTAAGATACATACGCGAAATAAACGGGGAAAAAAAAGAAAAAAAAAAACGCGCATGCCTTATATACTGCCATGATAAAAAAATCTCCCGCGACCGAGAAACGAACTAATGAAATCACAATCGTAGAGGAGGTCGGAAATTTTTTCCAAGAGCTGTGGAATTGTATGACAAACTAATTGATAATGTACATAGCGCTGATCGTGACATCAGCTGGCTGTAAACAAGCAAACGGCGTTTATTAATTTAATGATAATCTCCCGTTAAAATAACGCATCTCTACATAAGAGGAGTGTTTAATATAATTCTACTTTAGATTTCTACTCTCTTTACTTGTGCTCTAATTCTTTCTTAGTATCGTGAATATCAGACGTGTGTTTAACCAAAAGATTTTAATGACGTTACAAAGGGAAAAGAGAGAGAGAGTGAAAGAGACCCAGTAGGCCATCTGCTTAAACAGATTTTGCAAATCATTAAAAATTTTTATGCAGAATCTGTTATGTCAGATGCTGGCGATAGAATGTCACAAAAAAAATAATAGAATTTGTTTGTATAATTTGACACCTCGATAGGCAAATTGAAAATATTGCACATTAACTTATGACATCATGAACTTATGACAATTTTGCAATAATCGCGCTAGAATGATTCGCTATATATATTATTATTTTGTTAAAATACTACATTGAACTTAATTGAGAAGTGAACAAATATTGAGATATAAACTTAGAAAAGATCGGAGTTTTTACATCTATTTTGTAAATATACCCGTAATTGCAGATTACAAATTTTATACAAGATTTTGTTATATAATTTAATAAGTGTATTATCCTATCGAGGTATAGCTGATTGACAAAGCATAAGAAAGTAGTTTTAATGCAGACACAGATGGTACTGATCTGCTAAATTTTTCTAATCGAATTTATTATCAATTTTCTGGCATTCTGCGAATAGTTTGCTTACTGGGGAGAAAAAAAGATGCTTTTGACCGCATTGTTAATATCAGCGATAAGTTTTGTAATTATCGTTAACTTAAGATTAAGATTCGTTAGAGAGAACGACTTTGCAATCGGTCAAAAAATATTGTGCAAAAAACATTCTCGTTCTCCTATATTGTAAATATCAGAATTTTTCCAGCACGCTGAACGAAAAGCGATTTAGAGATAAGTCGGGCTGAAAATTTTTATACGTAACCGCATGATCGACTACGTTCTAATTTTGCGCCTGTCACGTCTGCTAATAACTGTTATCGATTGATCCTTGACACGTATGACCCGTATCGCTAATGTACTTTATAAACGTTGTAAACAATCGAATGTTGAACACTCCGTTCTATTTATGATTCTAATAAAGAGAAACGAGAAAAGGAACAGAGGAATTGTTGAAATTGTCGAGAGACAATTTACGTATTTGTGGTAGCTTGTCGACAATACATTTTGTTTACAGAAAGAGAGAGAAAAAGAGATAAATGAAGGTATATTTCCATGCCTGTTGCGAACTTTTCTTCATTAGAGGCTTTCCATTTGGTGACAAGTCGACACAAGTATCGTTTTATTTTTATTGCTTACTAAATATAAAGAAAGATGGAACAATGCTTGTGTCGATTTGTACCATTAAATGGAAAGCATCCATATTAAACGAGCTACTCGTGCACGCATCACCGACATCGATTCTAGTCTTTCTCATCAACACAATGTACGCGATACGATCTCGTACGACAGAATATGGGATTACCTCGCGAAGATAATCCTTTAATGTCCATTTCTATCAGTGTAGAATTAACTTTAATCTCAGTTTAATTTATTCTTTATCCTTTTATAATTCTTAGAACTAAAAAAAGATAAAAAGTAAGTTAAATCAAGATTAAAGTTAATTTACGTTAGTACAATAGAAATGGGCAGAAATTGTACAGAGAGTACATGATCGACTTTAGACGCAGCGTTAACGTCACAAGTATACTAAGTTCCACGGACGAGATCGCGTCAATTCTTCTCACTGGCCACTCACTTAAATAATCTGAATTCTGTGATAATCTCGCGCGAGGACAAGAAAAAAAAAGACTGATTAGGAAAACCCCAAATTTTCTTACGCATGTATCTTTTTTTTTTGTCACTTTTTTCCACCCTCACAAAGAAAAAGAAGTCACTTTATTGAGCAATGAGAATGAGATGAATTGAGCATCGCCTCGCACTATTCCTCGAATTTGATACCTATTGTCATACTGTCGTTATCAGTCGCGTTAAACTAGAAATACGTATTCTTGTTACTGGAAAAATATCAGGGAAGAATGGATTGCACCAAATTGGCGCGATCTTTAAAGTCTGATGCCCGATTGAGCACGTCGCAGTCGTTACTCGGCTTGCTCTCCGAGAAAGCCTTGCTGGTGAGAAAGCGTGTATAATCAAGATCAATCGCCCCTTTTCCTCTCGCCCCCTCCTCTTCCCTCTCAATGCCAAATTATTAGTAAATTTTTCCCTTGTTAGTCTAGTAAATGCTGTAAGTACACTGTGTTAATAAATAACTCTGAATCCGAAATGCGTGTATTTATCCTTCATCAATATCAGCTTATTTATCATCTCTGACGTCATGCTGCTTGACAATTCATCAATTAACATAATCTGTGAGTAATTTATTAATATATATTACTATTAATAATATTATTCGTTTAGAAAGAAAGACTTGATTAGCATTCAAATCTTTGGATGGTAGACAAAAATTTTACCGTGACCAATTCTATCGGTCGTATTAAACATCAATTAAGTTAATTAGCCGAAATCGTCCTAAGTTTTCAAGTAACGTATTCTATATTTTTATTAATGAATAAAACTATTATAATTTATTGTCATTTTTGCACAGAAAAAAAGATTAAAGATGATAAAATTAAAAGAAGAAATTGAAAGAAATTTTACAATTCTACAATTAAATTAATTTGTCAATTAATTTAATCATTTGCTCTAATCTTCCGAAAATAGATCTGTTAACTTTACTTTCCATTTACACACAAATGAAACTAAATCTGAAGTGAGCTGAGTATTTTATATTCAAATTAATGTCATCATTATTTGCTTACTTTGATAAAAAATTATTATATGACAACACAGGTTCATAACTTTTAAAGTGAGTTTACGAGACTCACAGCACGATCTCGATCTTGTGCAGATTATAGGCAAAAATTCAGTTAAATCTCACTTGTCAGAATGCAAAAGGAACGCGCATTCAACTGATATAATATCATAAGTAAGAATTATCTGAGAATCGGTATAAATGGAAAGCAACTTTTCTGATATATTGGGCGCGTTCAAATTAACAAATCAGCTAGTCTGCTCGTTGAGCAAATGAACATAATTGGTTGTTACTTATGGATTCAACCAATTATATACAATCGCTCGATATAAGCATGCTTAGCTGTTTTGCTATCTTGAACTCGATCATTGATAATAATAAATCCATCGTCGATACGCCGCATATACTGCACATCTAAAACATCTTTCCAGCGCGCATGAACTGTTTATTTGTATCGGTTCTCAATGTTCGCACATGTATGTACATCCTTTCGTAAATAAATACAACGGAACACACAGCATCTATGCAGGGTGTCGTATATATGATTATTGCTGCATTTAAATAATAGTGGAACAATATCAACATGAGAATGAGAATCGAATTCCACGTCTCTTGACAATCCCGACAATCTCCGACGTGGAATGTTTTCAATCAGATTACTCTTCGAGATAATATATTCCTAACCTCCAACATGGTGTAAATCTAGTAATCCAGTTCATCCAGTTTTATATGATTTCATAGAAAATTCTGTTTTCGCGTTCGACTAACAAATAACGAATAAAAAGGACATCGTAAAACGAAACTGATCCGCTTGGTCCATTTCGCACATGTGCGATTTGAAATTTCATGTTTGACAGCTATGGAAGATCAGATTCACTCGGAATTAATTCTAAAGGAGGAGCGGGAAGAGGACGAAATCAAAGGGGACCGCTGCTCTGCTGAGACTGCCGAGAGTGAGAAGAGCGTCACTCCTGATGGATCGGCGATCGGGATACGGCCGAAACCTCTGATTTACAAGCCGGAAAATGTGAGCATCGGCTGCAAGTCCGAGCCACTCGAGACAAAATGGCACTGGGCACCAGGAGCGTGGCAAGACTCGACCAGGACTAGCGCCTTCCAACCATACAAGGTACTCCTCTCTCAGCCTTCTCCTTGAACTCCACGGGACATCAGTATCGACCTCAAGAGTCAGGGGATTCACCCGTCGCGACAAAGAAGTTATTGTAATACCGTCGCCTGTAGGCCATAGAATATTTATATTTTATTAACTAAATATATAAGATCTATTTTTTATACAAAAGCTAAGCGGTTTATAGATTGTCTTCATGTCCAGATTCATTATTAGAATGCCAATGTTCGTGAATATTACAATTTATCAGAACGAGAAGCAGCTTGACACAGTATCAGACTGGTCCTTGTTTTGATGAAGTAAACTGTAATGTTTACAAAACGGCATTCTAATAATGAATTTGGACAAGGAGGGCTTATAGCTTCTGTATAGAAAGTATCCTGTGGAAGCTTTAAAAGTATTATTCATTTTTTATCTATTTGTAGCCACCCACTCTGCTCACAAATTTGCAAAGAGGCAACACTCAAACGCAGATACACCAGCTCTATGTTGGCAACGACATCACGTTTCATACCTTGGCGGGTCAGGGGGAACTTACATCTGATCATATACATTCAAGTAAATTATATGTATGCACTGTACATCTTATGGTGAATTCAGTCACGCACTACATTGAATTAATACATATTAAAAAAGCTGTTTTATGTAAAGTATCTAAATGCAATAGTTTAATATGATCAACTTTGACAATGAGATAATACACATATATCCTGTTAAATAACGTGACAATATTGTTATTGGAAATTTAATCATTTAAAATATTTAAATAAATATGTTAATGTATATTTTATAGATAGCTATTTTAGTACTAATCTAGTAATGCAAGTGATTAAATTCGCTATTATTGTCTAAATTAAAATATAAATATTATTGTAAAATAACACATCTTTGCTGCACAGACTCAGTGGATATGACTGATGAAAAAGGCTTAACTGGATTGATGTGGGCTAGTGCTTACGGACAAATAGGTAGTGCTAAACAATTGCTCAAAAGGGGCGCCAGTATAAATCGTTGTGGACCAAACTTACAGACTAGTCTACACTTGGCGGCCGCCTATGGTCATCACGATGTTGTCAAATTATTGTTAAATCATGGAGCTGATCCTAACGCATGTGATGAGGTACACACATTTCTTTTAAGTATAAACTTAATTTCTGGTATCATGTATCATATAATTATATTTCTATGCTGTAGGATGGTAATACTCCATTAATATATGGAGCACACTGCGATCATCCACATGTTTGTTATGAATTATTAATAAAAGGTGCAGAAATAACACTTACTAATACCTCAAATATAAGTGCTTATAAAGCAGCAATTATGAATAATTCAATGAATGGTAAGCATTTTCTTTTAAAAACATTTAAAATAATCTACATGAAAATGGTAAATTTGATTTTTATTAATTTGCAGCTAAAGCAGTTATTGAGAATCATTTGATACCACAAATTATAAGTACGCCAACAGATGAATTATAACGATGTTTGTTTTATTAAATTGTAACATTTGTATATTATACGTTTTTACAAATTGTAAATAAAAATGAAGAAATAATTGTTTTTGTCGTTTAAGTATAAGAAAAATTTTTCTCTATAGCATATTTTTAACAATAATTTTAAAAAACATGGCAACACAACATGAAATATTTTCCAAGACAAGGTAACATAAACTTACGAATGAGTAACAAAATTTGATGTATATATTTGGTAATAATACAATCTTTTGCAGGAGCTATTGCAATACTAAAATATATGTATAGAGTAGAAAGTAAATATGATAAATTTGCATGTATGAATTATAACCAAGTTTAGTCAAATTAAAATATATCTTCTTTTTTTTACAAATGTGTATAAGTATTCGGCACCGAACAGCTATTAAATAGCATATTAAATTGATACATGTACATAAATATAGCAAATGACATATATCAATGTTTAATGAATCACGTAAGAATGGTTGTATGGCAATAAAATTAAAATTCAAGTAATAGTCAATCTTGATTGTTGATCGTAACATTATGCTTTCCCACTGAACTGTGCCTACTTTCATATTCTTACATACGCAAATACTTTTCATCTATTATCCATAATGTCTTATGCAACTTCATAATTATCAGTGAAAAACACTGATTCTACTGAATACTTAACTGGGCTCTGATCTTCTACAAGCAGAACTTCGCTAACCTGAAAAATAAAAATAACATTATTTTTATATAATTTGATATAATTTGCGAAACACATAGAAATCTATGTATTCTATACCTTAATTTTAGCATACGGCGTTTTAGATGTAAATGAAACATGAAGTGGGAAGAAATCTGCAGGTGTAGAAGATGGGGCTGAAAATTCCATAGAGCCTGATTTCGTTGAAGCATCAATCACTGGTAGGGACCAAACTAACGTGTTTCGTCGTGCTTCGTGTGTATACTGTCCGTCACATTCACTGACGATAGGATTACATCCAATAGGTAGAGGAATGTTTATTTGGATGTCATTCAACTCAAGATCGGCCTGTTCCAATTCGTATTCGATATTCACATCGCAGCCACCCTCTCCGTTTTCAGAAGGCCAGCAATTTACTATTACAAACAATTAAATGTATACTCATATATTTCATAGATTTAAAAGAAAATTTATTAAAAAGATTTAAAAGAAAATGAATTAAAAGTAAAAGCGTATATGACAATTATTATTGCAGCCTTACTTGAAATTGGTAATGCTGTTTCGTCTTGAGCTTGAAAACGCCATTTCAGCACACCAACGTCAGTGTTCAATGGGAATGGTTTCGTAGGTACTTTTAGACCTATTTGTCCATGTGATCTAAACAATTCTTTGTCCACGTTTGGATGAGTTTGTAACTGTATTCCTCTTGTGTCGCTGTTCTCGACTTGCACACGGATACGTCCCCATTTCTCATCAGAGATGTATAAAGTTACCAAACCATGCAACTCGAAATTTTGTAAACCTCCATCCCGACCGACACGTACATTAAGTCGTTCTTCTTGTCTTAAGTGAACCCTTTTGATGGAAATACATTTTTTGAATAATTGTTCATGAATGATTTTGAAGTTTCTATATATCATCAACATACAATTCTGTATTAATTATCTGAGGAGTTTGCGTTGATTTTGTTCCAAGAGCAGCAAGTGGTCCTGATACGACATTTTCTCCTTCTTCCTTCAATTGATCAACGAATGAGTCTACATCGCGAGACTTTCCACCTAATTTCATTGCACTTGGTCCAACATTTAATGGTTTCCTAATAAAATAATTATAGTAAAAATATTTACATTTATAAATACAATTATGATCAAGATTAAAATTAATCATACAGCTTGGGCTTGTAAGAAGGTCTAATCGGTTCAGGCACAAAGTTAGCTGTATCACCAACAGACGGAGTAGCTGGGGTGCTACCGCTTCCATATCCTCCGCCAAATGTGGGACTTTTAATTCCACCTTTTTTGTTAGCTTCCATCATCCTTTGCCTCTGCAATTCTTTGGCCTTTTCACGCATCTTATTCTTAGCTTCACGTTCTTGTGTCATTCGAACTGCTTGATAAACCTTCTCCTCATGTGAATCCATTTCTACAAAGGTTCTGATTTGTGCTAAATTGACGTTCTCCCTATAGCCTAATGCAACTATTTCATCAAATGCAAATATCAAATTGAATGCATTCTCTGCTATTTCAAGTTCATCCATTGAGTTGCAGTATTCTGGAATCTGAAAGAAATCAAATATATACTTAATGTACATAATTAACAATAATAAATCTACAGTAATGAGTTTTATCTATAGTATAATGGAGCAAACCTTTCCTATACTAAATTATAAAAAACTGCAGCCTGATGGAAAAAAGGAAAACATATGAATATTTGTCTTTCTGACTTTTTCCTTTAATTATGATAATAAAACAACATCATTAATCAATTAATCAAAAAAATAGTCACATCAGAATATCATTGGCTGCATTCGGCAGAAAAAAACTGTTAAGCAGAACATATCCTATAGAGTTCACTGATCCATAGAAATGATCGAGTTCAGCAGAGAAAATTAATCAGTTAGTGTTTAGATATAAATATGATTGATTCTTGCCTTTAGGTCTTCGTTATCTATAAATCTAAATGTGGGAACCAATCGTATTAAAGAATTGCTAAGCTAACTGATTAGTTTTCTCTACTGAACGCAGCTATTACTTTTATGATCCATTAATATATCTATTTACCACTCTCGCAAAGAGCCTTAGAGTTTCCAAATCCTCCAAAATATTGCTGGCCTTAGTCGTGATAAGTAGCATGTAAACCTTCTCAAGTGGCTGATAAACGTATCTAACAGATTCCGTTTCCACAAATGTATGCTGTTTACCCGAGCTCATTAGTTTTGGGAACGCAGCAAGTAGGCCTTCTATTCTCGCTTTTGTCATTTCGACAAACTGTCGAGAAATTATAGCTGGAAGAGTAATACAAATTGTGATGAAGAAATAATTGCATTTTTTTTTTCAAATTACTCAATTTTATTGATAAAAAAAATAGGTTCAAGGAAGCAGAAAATTATGCGACTTTTTCTTACAATCGATCAGTTGATACTCATTCCTCAACAAATAAAACACAATACCGATTATAGATATGAGATAAAAATATCATGTGATTAGTAGCTGACACTATTAAAACAAGACACGCATACGCAACATATGTACAGCAATGCAAGAATATTTTGTGAACTCACTTTTTCCAGATTTGGTGCATACCGCAGCGGCGATGAGTACCTAGAAAAAAATGAGCATACAATACATAAATTTGGCTACAGAATTAAATGCCTGGCGGGCACACGCCGTTAAATGGATGACATCTGTGGACGATGTCATGAGCGGTTCCGCTGCTGCAGGATTCCTTTTTTAAGAAGCAGAATTTTGACAACGATCCCACGACCGCGGAAGAAAATCACTTACCATCCTGACGAGTGATTCTGCAACGCTCCGTATATGCGATTTAATCTAAATGTATTTCCTTATCGTACACGAACGGACTTCTCCACATCACACATATACAAATACACGAACAAGGGAAATAGAGGGCGCACTATGCTGACGTGTGCCATGATCAAAGAACGAGAGACGTTTCACCATGAATCACGATAATCGTAGTAGGAAATCTGTGAAGGGTATTCGCAGATCACGTGAACGTGATGATGCAGTCAAACATCATCCAATTACATTACCGGAAGAATAGTAGTCGTCTAAAATAAAATTGATACGTATTCAGACACTTCAGACGTAACTCCGGATCTACAATAGATTTTTAAGCTGTAAGAAATGGACGAATCACAATCACTTATTCTTCTTGCATTCGATTGTAGTTACTCCAGATCTACAATAGAGTTCTAAGTCTTAAGCCATAATAAATGGACGAATCATAGGCCTAGTTTCCACCGACGGTTTAATCTGGGTCAGAATATAAGAACCAACCAACTACAATCGAGCATTTCCCTGTTCCTCGTTCGATTGTAGTTGATTGGTTCTTACATTCTAATCCGGATTAAACTTTCGGTGGAAACTAAGCCATAGTCGATTATTCTCCTCGAATTCGACTGTAATTGATCAATCTTATGACTTAAGGCTTAAAACTATTGTAGATCCGGACTAAAAGGCCGCAGCATAGACTTTTGCATAACACATAGTACTTATAGACAATCAATTAATTTAGAATCTTTCCTTTCTTTCCATTTCCGAAGAAAAGAACTTTAGGTTTGCTTCTACTCACTTCAACGAGCGCGTTAGAGTAAGTAAATGCTATGATAGGAGCCCGCATTAGGCCGGATTCACATCTTGACGAAAAAACGGAAAGCGGAAAAGCGGAAGTCAATCAGAACTCGTGGAAAGAAGCAGACAAACGAAATGTATTGCCTACTACTACTGCGAGTTCTGATTGACTTTTGCTTTTCCGCTTTTCACTTTTCAGTCAAGGTGTAAATTCGGCCTTAGATCACCGATTCTGCAAGCCGACCCAACTGTCAACTCTAATTGCCGACCAATAATGGATCGATCACATTGAATCAGTCTTATTGTAATTGGTTAAATTTTTTATACCTTATGTGTTAGGCATTATGCATAAGAAAATAAATTAATCAAAGTCCTTCATTTTTTTCCTTTCCATAAAATAAGACCTTTGATTGAATGAATTGTTTATTTATATATATATATATA